CTAAAGAGTTTTATAAACTACAGACCTTTATTGATGATCGAAATTTACATTATTATTGTTTTGTAGTATTTATTACATATTATCCGACTATTTCATACGTCTTAACTGATATATGTTCCGTATGAACAGAAAGGATAATAGTAAAACTTCTCCTGTTCGAGAAACATCTAGCTTATCAAGATCCTGAAAACACATGCATTTTGAAAATACATCAACATAAAGTTGGTGAGTCTATAGGTTTTGACTCCTTGTAAAATAGTACTTTTTCCAAGTTTAAAAGTATAAAACATAGTATAAAAGTCATCCTGACTCATATCTATCTCTAACACACACACACACACACACACACATATATATATATATATATATATATATATATATATATATATATATATATATATATATAGGTTCATGTATTCTAACTATTTATTGTATGGATGTAGGAATCAATATATACCAATCATTTTAAAAGCTTAAACAAGTGTTAAATGGTAATTTCAATCATTAATTAAATTTAGTAATTATATATTAAATTATGAATACCTTTAATTTAGGTAAATTAAAGGAAATTTAGTTACCATCCCTACAAAACCATCACTCACCCCTTTACCCTTATTTCACCATATCCATCATTACATACATACCATCGGCGGCTCCGAGATCACGATGATTGTTTTCTCTCTGGATATCGAAATCGATGATCGGAGAAATTTGAAGCCCCTCTAACAATGGAAATGCCAGTTGTTTGCCTGATGAAACCACCACAAGTCTTGAGGTTGGTTGGTTTCACCGTCTCCACAATCGTATCCTTGCCATCGATGGCTACCAGTTTCCCTCCTGAATTCTTCTCTCTGGACGTCGATGCTGATGATTGGAGAATTCTGATGCCGTCCTTAAACATTCATGATGCCTCTTCTTGGCCTGATGAAGAACCCACCAGAAGTCTTTACAAAGGTATCGTTCTTCTTAGTTTCTTTAAATTTGATCACATTCTGATTAATTAGGGCTATACTTCAGCCCAAACCGATTGTTAAATTGGGTGGTTTTATTGTTCTCTCTATTGTAAGAATTCTATTTTTTGTTGGCAAAGACGTGGATTATGTGGTAAAGATATTGTAGCATGATTACTATGTATTTTATGGGATCAAGAGCTTGTCCAACATATGTCTTCTTTCTGTTTCACCAAACAAGAAACTGATAACCCATCTGTTGCTACAAGAGATGGGGAAAATTATAGTTCATCAAGAATCAAAATTCCCAGCAAAACGTAGTAGATTCTGGTTGAGTAACGACTCTTGATCGACTATAATAAATATAGTATTGGCTAGGTAGTAAGGTTGTTCGAACACTATTTTGGTGCTCAATGTTTCAACCCTATCTCATTTAATATTTCAACCCTATCTCATCTCACAAACGACATTTTGATTCTTGAATGGCATCGTTGGAATTACACATTTTTTGGAAGCTAGGATATACATATCAATTTCCACATCAGCATAAACTATGATTTTTTTTATGGTCAAAGTCTACGTTAGCAGCAAATTAACAAAATAGTTTTAGTGACAAATTTCACACCCTTCTCTTTCATTTAATTCATACAATTTATCCTTTCTTTCCTTTTAGGGTTTAGAAACTATAGAAGGTTTAAGATTTGACATGCAAATGCTAGAGGAACAGAAGTTTGCTTTCAAGGTAATATAGAATCACTAAGACATGACGTGTGTTTATACATATGCATAGTTTTACACATATACTTATACCTAGATCTAATAATACATTTACTATCTCCCTTTATTCTAAATCTACAATTATCAAACATGAAGATGAATGCACATCAAAAGATAGATAAACTAAATTTCTCCAATGAAACTACTTGCAGCTCACTGGGTCTTACGAGAACTTTTCAAAAGACTTAAGATGGCTCTTCTGGCTTGGATCCGATTTAAGAAGCTTACCCTCTGACTTATTCATGGGGAACATAGTGGATATAGATATGAGCTATAGCAAATTGGAAGTATCTAAACCACCCACGGTAGGGAATCCGATAAACTCTTTATGTTTGGCTTCTCAATTCTTAGTGGTCATCATGTAGACATAGAGTGCTACAATAATTAATCTTGTTACTTGTGTAACATGTTTTTCCATCGCTGCAGATTCTAAATCTTACAGACTCGCATAATCTACTCGAAATACATAATATGTCCATGATCCCTCATCTAGAGACTTTAATTTTGTAGAACTGTCAATCTATCTTGTGTTTGGGAAACAATTAGAGACCTCACAAGTCTTGCACTATTGAAAATGACATGATGTAGAAACCTGTGCAAGAGTGAGCAAATAGAAGCTTCTACCTCTAGTGGAGGAGTTGCACAACAACCTACATTTTTCTTCCCACGTTCATTATATCAGTTATTCCTCAAGTATTGTGATCTTAAGTGTACCAAGTGTTTTTGGGATTCATTTCACATGGAAGGATTCAATTATAGAGTGATGTGAAACCACCAACATGACAATGACGTTGTATTCTCATAGAATGGATTCGTTATACATTCAAAAGGGATTTTTTATTCTATTAAAATGAATTAACAACAATATTCTCTCAGAATGTTTTAGTATTTTACTTTGATTTCAATGTTTTTATTTGCTTTTTAACCATTCTCAATTTTATTCCTTTAAGAATAAATGTAATTGTTAACCATTATTAGTCGTATTCTTTTAGAATGAATGTAATTTATGTTCATAGTTGTATTCTTTAATAATGAATGCAGTTACTGATTCTAAAACATTAAAATCCATTTCATATAAAATTTGTATTCATTAAAAAATATTAATTTTGATAATATATGTTTATAGTATTTTGTCATAATAGAATGATTTTTTTCAAGATAATATGAAAACATTCTTTTAGAATGTCCGAATTAATATAATTATTATCAAGAAAAATCAAAATTTTAAAGTTTAGAGAATTAATTGTTTTCTAAAATATGTAATTTTCCTTTTTAAAAATTATATTATTTGACTAAAATAACCTTACAATGAATTTAAATGGTATTTTTTTTAATTATGTTTAATTCAATAATATTTGTTAATCATTTTCTTAAAATAACTAAAACGATTGATCTACAATCATTCCCACATCCACAAAATAGTTAGTTAGAATACAGTAATCTAAGCGCATATATATATAGACACACACACACACACACACACACACACACATATATATATATATATATATATATATATATATATAAACTTTTTACCTATATAAATCCAACCATTTACCGATTCAATTCAACTCCACACTTCTTCAATTCCTCTCACTAGATTCTCGAGGAAAAACGAAACAAATTACTTCTAGCTAAAAACGCAAATCCAAGAAAGGTGTGTCTAGTCAAGATATTCCATTTTCTTTTCCGGGATCCCAAAACCAAAACTACCAACAAACCCCAAACTATCAACAATACCCAAACTACCAACAAAATCAAAACTATCAACAACAATATTAGCCATTACAACAAGCCTACAACTCATTCCGTCTTTCACTAGGAAAATACGAGTTATAATCACTACATGCAGTATTCTCAAACAGTTGTTGAAACCCAATTTAAAGTTCTCCTCCCAAAGTATCCCAGTTTCATGATATTTAAAGCTTAGAATCTAATGATTCTAGTGACAACTCCGCACCCAGAGAAAATTAACAAATCAGCGAGGAGCACCAACCCGTAACCGAGCAGAAACAACACCACACAAAAAACTAAAAGTAAAAAAAAATGGTTGGAAAAGGAAGAGGTGGATTTAGCTAGGGCGGATGCTGATGTTTCTGAAGATAAGCAACTTGGAAATCAACAAAGGTCATATGCAATTTTGGTGTGGGTTCTAGAGCATTTATGCTTAACCGGGAGGTTCAGATCGTGCATGGCACTAAGTAAACTCAAAATGGAAAGACCTTGCTAGCGGGAGATACGAGGTCGATGCTTTAAAAGATGCACAAAGCGAGTATAGGACGCTTAGTAATCAGAAACATTTTCCTAATGAAAAATTTTGGGATGTTTTGAAACACCATACGAAATGGTTGCAAGTAAAAAAAGTTGTTGAAGACTCCCCGTCTCCTTCAAAACGAACCAAAACATCTTCATCCAATGCCTAAACAACAAATTACAATGAACAATTTCCACCTGGATTCGACCAACAACATATGTTTAATGAAATAAACTCATCACCGCGGAGATAACGAAAAAGAAAGAAAGTGACATCGACATCAACAACACAAAATGAAATTGTTGATCTCGTCAACGAAATGGTCGGCATCCATACTGTAAACAAAGAAGATATGGAAGAGAGAAAATGATATTGAGATGGAAAATTATATCTTTTACGAGAAAATAAATAACAGAAAGCTTAATTGTTAGAGAGAGAGAGAGAAATTTTTTTTTTCTCAACCTGCATGATCACTTAAGATGAGGGATTCCGCAGACTGTATTTGAACGGAAACAATAAATTGCAGCAAAATATGGTTGAGAGTTTTAAAATTATTGTGTCTTTTTTTATTGTCATGTTTTTTTTTTCTTTTCCTTTTTTTATTGTGTATTTTTTTGTACCTTTTTAATTAAAAAATATTATTTTTTACTAGTATTTAATTTTTTATTTTCTAATTTAATTCAATTAAAAATATTGTCATGACAAATAGATTGGGATTTTCATATATTTTGGATTGAGAAATAGAAAAGATAAAAAAGATAAAAACTAATGTCACAAATTGAATGAGTTGGAAATAGTCTGATCCTAACTCATGATTTCACAATGTAAGCGAAATTAGTGGTACTTTTTGAGCTACTTACCCAAAGATAGTTATCTTGTTAAATTCATACTCCATTCAATCCATTTTTTGTGATTTTTTTATTGCTTTTGTAAAATAAATGAAAAAAAAAAGAAAGGAAAAGAGAAGCTGTCTCTTTGTATAAATAGGAAGCACAAACATGTGAGTTGCAGCTACTTATAGAGTTCGGAGGAAACAAGAACCACTGTTCCTTTGTATTTTTAAAAATGGCATGCTTAAACATGCAACTCAATAATGATCAACAACAAGGAGGGTTCTTGGGACCAAGAATCTCTTTCTCAAATGATTTTTGTGATACCCAACAAACAGCGACCAATACGAAGCACACCACCAGTTACAGAGAAGCTCCTGTGACTTCCGATTTTGAGTTTTCGGTACCTTGTTTGTCTTCAAATTCTGCCGATGAACTCTTCTTCAAAGCCAAAGTTCTACCATTGAAGGAGAAGGTGGTGACACTCAGAGATGAGCTTCTTGCTGCTAATGACGACGATGATGACATCTTCTTGCCAAAAAGTTCAGGGTGGTGGAAATTCGGAAGAACTCAAAATCTAAATCCCGCAAAGAAAGTTGAACATAAGAATCATGGTGGATTGGAGACCATAGATGAAGGAAACCAATATATCAGGTCAGTTACTACACGTTATTAAAAGCTTCTTTTAGAAATTAATCATTTTATAAGACGATTATAAAGAAAATAAAGTTACAATGTTATATTGTGAGTTTCTAGGTTGGATATAAATCCTTACTCGGATCTTGTAGATCTTCGATCAATTAATGATCTTCAACTTTTCTATATTACTGTTGTGATACGAAATGAATAAAAATGTTTCTTTTTTTTGCAGGAAATAATCTATCGATGTGATCTGTGGCAAACCAACAACTAGGAAGGCTGGATCTTCATATTATTAGTATATTTTTTTGTCTTAATCATGATATTATTTTGGAGAAAGTTATTAGGGTTTTGAATTTGATCATAGATGTTCAGTTTTGTATGCATTCATTTGCCTCTTTCGGTATTCTGTACAAATAGTTGGACCATATAAAGTGACTTTAATTAGTTGAGAACTGTTCCACCATCGACAGTCTTTGTACAGAATTTGATCGGAATGTTATTATATTATTAGATTTGTGTATTTTAATATAATATTGCCTTTTGTTTCTTTTATATTATATTAATATTAATATATCTTGGGTACTTCACATGTAAGTGATTTTAATGGAAAGCAAAACTTGGATCTTGTTCTGCCCTCATCTCAACACATTAAGAATTAAAAATTTGATCCTTAAAGATTTTTGCTGTCTTCTATATCCGGGAAGTTACTAGGAAGTTACCTTTGCTGATATTACAAGAAAACATTAATCAACATAACCAATGAATGAACTACGTACTTATGATTTTTTTTTTTTTTTTTTTTGGAAAAGACAAATGAAATATTAAATATATAAATATAAACCGAGCCTAGCAAGGCGTTAGGACACGGGAAAATAGAGCAGTACAAAGAAATTAACAGTATAAAGGAGACTCAACCAATATATCCAACTACGACTACATGTGATGTACATTAATGTGTTGTTTATTTTTAAAATGTACACATCTGCAAAAAAAAAAAAAGTGAATCAAACGTTTATAACTTGCAAAAAAAATGATTGTTTTTAAAGTTTGTAAACTGTTAAAATAAATTGAAAATTAGATAAACGGATTTATTTAAAATAAAAAAAATATATTTTAAAAACATACGTTCTCAACACACTTGCTCTAAACTTTTGTACTTTTCTCTCCTTAGAGTCTAAAGACTCCATAAAAAAAAAAAAAAAAAAAAAAAAAAAAAAAAAAAAAAAAACTAATTTTTCAAAAATTAAAAGACTTTTCGTAATAAAATACAATTGTATAGAAAACAGAAAAAAAAAAAAAAAAAAAAAAAAGGTACCCTAGAATACAATATTAATTGAGGTTATTAAACCAAATTTATGACATCAAATAACATATTAGAGAAAGGAAACATGATTAATTGAGATTATTAAACCAAATTTATGACATGAAATGACATTAGAGAAAGGAACATGGGGGCAGTATACTTGAAAAAAGGGTTATATCTATAGACTTGAAAAGTGGAATACCAAGGTTCAAGAAAAAAGAACGTTTAGATTTTTATAGGTTTGCGGTCTTCTAAAAAATAAATGGTATGCAAGTTAAAATGTATACGTGTAGTTTGTTCTGTTGCGCATTGATATGTGTATTTTATTTACTTTTTTTATAATTTGTTTTAGCATAATTTATTTTATTTTTAGCTAATCATCATGTATATTTTCAGTTTTGTTATTTTATATATAGTCGGGTACTTTCTAGTGTTTTGTGTTTAATTGTAGATTTTTAGAAGACTATGATGAAGCGCGGGGAAGATTTGCAAGACAAATGGGATTGGTGCGGATCTGATTGAGATTGTTTATGCCATTGAAGAGATTTGGATGGGAGACTAGAGTATATTGGAGCTTATCATGGATGGAGAGAAGAGATGAGATGAGCTATGAGATTAAATGGGCTTGATCTTGAACAGAGGTTAGAAGTAAAGAAAAGATAATTGGGCCTATTAATTTATGAAACCTTGAAGATATTGGGTCAAAGAATAAGAGATAGGGATGTCAACGGGGGCAAACGGGACGGGGATTGCATCCCCCGCCCCCGCCCCCAAAATTTTCCCGTTCCCCCGCCCCGAAATCTCCATCCTTTCCACCCCCGCCCCTGCCCCCAAATTCACCTTCTGCTCCCCTCCCCCGCCCCCGATTGATTTGGGGCTACCTTATTTGGTCTAAAAGAAGTTCTTGTATGGGCTAAAAGAAACTATTTTTTAGGTAACAAATAGATATTTATAACATAATTTTTTTACATGTTACAAATAACTTAAAAACATGGTTTTTATTGAATTTTTGTTTGTAAAAATCATTTTATTATTTATTATATTTATATAACTAATATATGTCAATTTATATAATTTATTAACGGGGCCCCCACAGGGGCTTCGAGACAGGACTACCAACCCTCGCCCCTGATTTTTTTCAACAAATGCCCCCATACGGGACGGGGTCCCATGGGACTTTTTGACATCCTTAATAAGAGGATATGTGATATGGGCTTAGCATGGGTGATTAGAAGATATTTAGGCTTATATTTTTGGGTAGTGGCAGCTAAAGGAAAGCAACAAAGGAAATCCTAGTGAAAAAGGTGTTTGCATGAAAGTTAAAATCTGGTCAACCGATCTCATACAGCCCAACAAAGGAAATCCTAGTGAAAAAGACGTTTGCATGAAAGTCAAAATCTGGTCAACCGATCTCATGCGACAACGTGAGATCCGAGGCAACAAAAACCATGCGGTCGTGTGACTCTTGCATAGGTAGTTTCATAGTTTTGCTTCTAGTGGCTATTTAAGGGTAGTTTGGTGAGCACTTTCCAGATCCTTAATTTTAGATCATATTTTGAGTGTTTTCTCTGTAGCTTTTGGAGAACTTGAAGAACATCATTTTTCATCTATTTTCATCTTGTTTATGTTGGGTATTTCTAAACTATTTCTCTTTTGCTTAAACTTAGCCATGTTAAGCTAAGTAAATCTTGGTTGATATTGGAACTAATCTTTGAATATTTGGTTTATTTTGAAGAATTTTATGAACTTGTGGTTGAATCTTTATGGAAATATTTTCTAGAAAAACTTCTCTTTGTGTTTATATATCTTTAATAATGAGTTTAGATGTATGAATGTTATGTTTATTGGTTAATTTCTTGATTAAGTAATAGATCCTCAAATCATCAACCAACAATTGATTTATGTGTTTGTGTTCATTTCACTTAAGTCAAGAAAACATTTCCTACATAATGGTAATGCAAGCATTTTGTTTTGGTGACTCTTAAACCTTAATTGTAGTTGATTTTCACAAATTTGCACCTCATTGATTTGTGACTTTGATTAAGAAACTGTATCATTCCTTCTATATTGATTGACGTCAACTTTTATTAGTTTAAATTGTGTTTCACTTGTGTTAGTTAAATTATATTAATAACAACAAAAGCTAAAACCCACATTTTTACTTTTCATTGTTTTACAAGTATCTTGTGGTGAGACTTTAATAGAGTTTGAAACTTGAACCAATCCTCGTAGGTTCAATCCCTTTACCATTATACGCTATTTTAGTGTGCAAGATTTATGGTATTTTTTGTTGGCCTCGATAAACACTAAATTTTGGTGCCATCATCAAATATTGTTTTATTTGTAATCAGTTTGTTTCTTTATGCCCAGATCTCTTCGTACATGTACACTAGTTTACAATTCTAAGATTGAAAAAGAAGCAAGGCGTTTAGAAAAAAACAAGGCTACAACATGGTCAAACATCTGCAACTAATGTGGCTCCTATAATTCAATCTGAGTCCTTAAGTGATACTGAAGTTTAATCTGAATTAAACCCCGACTCTCGCCAAGAAATTTTCGAAACACCTCTCACCGATCTGAGTCCGAACAACATCCATATACAATCCATAAAACCTGAAGTCCCTCCTATCATAATCTAAATTCCAATGGCTGGAGACGAAGTTCCCGAAAGTACCTTGAGGTAAATGATGGAAACAGATGTCATACAAAATCTAGTTGACATCCATTATCCCATTTTGGAAGGAGGCTCGGAATTAAAGTCAAGTCTATTTCATCATTTTCCTACTTTTCTTAGATTGGATAACCAAGACCCTCACAAGTACATGAAGATGTTCCATATCATTTGCACAATCATGAAGCCACAAGGTTCAACCAATGACCAAATCAAGCTAAGGGCATTCCCCTTCTCATGGGCTGATAGAGCAAAATATTGGTAGTTCTATCATCCACCAGGGTCTATAAATTCTTGGACTGATATGGCGAGAGCGTTTCTTGACAAAATTTACTCCGCTTCTAGAGTTTCAAGTGTTATAAACAAGATCTGTGGAGTTTGCCAAGGTCCAAATGAGACATTTCGTGATTATTGGGAAATGTTTAATAGTTTGTGTTTGAGTTGCCCACAACATCAAATACCTAAGTAACTCCTCATACAACACTTTTATCAGGGTTTGTTGCCCATTGTAGATACTTTAATTGGTGGATATGTCTTTAACAAAACTCATCAACAAACAAAACAACTCTTTAACACCACAAGCCCCAACTATCAACACTTTGGTCCACACCAAGACATGAATAGGGACATGATAGGTTTTATAGGTTACAAAAACAATATGTAGCGGAAAAACATAAACCTAAGTTCACATGCAACCTATTGGATCTAAGTTTTCTCTATTGATTGCAACAAACACTTGAATATCAAGAACCCTAAGAATACTATTCTATTTACTAAATGTATAAAGTGGTTTAGGGTTTACACGCCTTTCGATTATTGTAGTAAATAATCAAAAAATTCCTTGTTGAACAAGATTCTGAAAGCAAGCACCAGAAATCTCGTGCATCGAATGGTTTTTACCCAAACGCTAGCAATAGAAGACTTGAGGGGAGAGATGAGGGAGGAGGTGATTTTTGGCTTTATTCTCTTGAGAAGGAGTGGCCAAAATTATGAGCCCCAAGGCTCCTTATATAGCTGAACAAGGAAGCCCTAGATAACCCTAATTTAAATATAATATTCTTATCTCAAATTAGGCAATTATCCATATTGCTAATTATCCTTAAGGATTAATCTAGAAACCTAAGGAGCCTTCAAATTTTCGGCCATCTGTAGATTATTCTAGAATCCTTCTCTTGTTCAACTATTGAATACAACTTATGTCCTTGCACTTTTAATTATTCCAATTAATCCCAAAATTAATTCTAATTAATTTCTGATTAATTATTAATTAAACAATACTATTTCTAATTTATTGTATTAAACTAATAATATATTAACAAATTGTTTATTGCTATTTATTAATCTTATAATAAAACAATAAATCAACCTCCCTCTCCAAAAATTCATTCTGTCAATTACTAGTTTTGAGGGCAACCCAAAAGGACTCTGTTTTTTAATTCAAGTATATAGCAATTTAGTCATTGGCTTAGACATCTAATCCAGCAGTCTCCTACTTGGATAAGTCTAACTACAATTTCAAGT